GAAAGTGAACTGGGAGCCAGTGAAGGGAGGCCAAAACTAGAGTACATGTAATGTGCTCTCTGTTGCCCGAACCAGTTAAAAAATCAGGCTGCAGCATTTTGGACCAGTTGTAAACGTACGATAGAGGTCTGACTGATTCCAAAAAGTAGTACAGTAAAAGTAAAGTGCTATGTGTCGTCATCATTTTATGTTCCCATACAATGATGAAATTGGTCCTCTGCATTTAATTCATTGCACCTGGGATACACCCAGGTGGAGCAGTGGGCAGCTATGTAAGTGCCCAGGGAGCAATTAGGGATCACATATCTTGCTCAGAGACACCACAGCATGTAGGAATGGCTTGGGATCGAGCCTGGGACTTTCGGGTTCTGAGTCGGCTGCCCTAACTCTACACCAGAGCATTACAGTAATCAAGCCTGGATGTTATGAAAGCATGTAATACTGTTTCAAGATTACCTTTGAACAGTATGGGCTTCAATTTAGACAGTCGCCTCAACTGATGAAACAAAAAAATCAAAACAAAACAGGATGGAAGGGTCCATTTTCACCCCAGATTAGTGACCGCTTTGACAGCATCATGTCTCAGTAAAGGCTGCAGCAGACATACAGACCTTCATTTGGTGGAGAAAGTCTGAAGTGCTGCTAGATGTTTGCACTCATCATCATTGTGAATCACAAGATCTCTGCATTAACCAGTTAACTCTACTGGTTCTTCCACGATGGGAACTGCAGTCTTCACTGCATATCATTCTAAAAGACTGCCTAAAGCCAAGTTTGATTTATTTTAACCTCCACGACTTCCTTCTTCTGTTTAGTCTCCACTCTGATGGCTTCTGTACTATTGTGAGAGGTTATATTGCATAATATCTTATTGTTTTGACACATTAGGACTATAACATTTTCAATAACTATGTAATTACAAACACTTTAGGCTAAAAGATGAATTGTTATATACAAACTATTCGTGCATTAGTCATAGTGAGAGCAAGTTGTTGCATTAACATTAAGGAGTTGCAGCTAAAATGTGCTTTACACTCACAGCCGTCCTCAATAACAGAAGATGTTGCTATGGAGAAAAATAATACTACCACACAGCATGAACAAGAAATTAATCCTACAAGAAATACAGTCTTATCTGAATTATTTAGTTTACTTGAGGTTTTTAAAGTTTGCAAAAGATGGAAAATATAAATTACCCAAGTAATTAATAAGAGAACTTCAGGCATTTTTACTTTTCATGTCATTGGATACAGAATTATTGTTTTACTGACCAAACCTACTTAAAATAATTTAAAACTTTTCACTGTACCAGAGTGCTGTTCAGAATATCAGCAAATCTGTCACGTTTTAACAATTGAAAATAAATATTCAAGCAATCAATGTAATATGTTCCGCAAATACAAACATTTCTATTGGAATATCAGAGAGATGACAAAAGTCAGAAGAGTTTAGGCTCTGGATAATGTTCTGGATAACATCTTATGTTAGATTCTGGAGCAAAAGGTTGATTAACAAACCACCAGTCCAACTGGTGCTAACGTACGCGAGAATGCAACATGGTATAAAAGCTGTTTCAACACTCAACTTGGAATGTAAAATGTAAAAGCAAACCCACAGATGCTTCCAAAAAACACACAATTTAAAATTTAGGACACCCTCCACTAGTGTTAAAAACCAAAGCCAAGCTACTAAGCAATGCTTAATCATCCTGGATAATTAAAGCCAGAGATGGCACAGATTGAATCTCCTAAAGGCTTTAAAAGATCACATTTGCAAATCTATCATCATCCATGGCACTTAAAATCTTCATTTGCCAACATAATAACTCTTTTGAGGATCAAAGCATCCAGGTGTGAAATGATCATGAAGGCAATGATAAGGTGATTTAGTCATGGTATTATGACAGAGGGGAAAGCAATCCACTGGAAATCCTGGTGCTCGAGTGAATCGCTGACCTCACCACTGGCAAGCCGAAGAGATGTTCAGAACAGAGTCGTTTGGTACCTGCTAATGAGATCAGCGCTGTCGAGGTACAGCACAACATACAGTAGGTGGGTACACCTCAGAAGTTGTGGGAGTCGGGCACCGAGAACTGTTTCAGGACACTGCGGCTGAAAAACCAAGCACGTGACGGTGAGGCAGAGCAAGGTCAAGACTAAAAGAACAGGAAGCTCATTTGCACAAATGTGGATGAGGATTTGTACTCAACAGATGCACACACACTCATAAACAGACATCCACTTTCCTCCCAGCCAGCAGCTCATCTGGGCGAGGGCTATTTCAGGAAAGAACACAACATCAGGACACACATTGCCTCCAGCTCTACCCCGTCCTGCTGCCTCCTTCCTCTGCTCACTCCTTCTCTCTGGCATTTCTTGTCACTTCCCCTCACCTCTTTTATTGTCATCATTTCTCCTCATCTCATTTCAACTTGTTTTCCATCCAGATAATTTCCCCCAACTTTACAGCCCTCCTCAGGGGCCGCTTTATCTATTTTTTCCTCTCCGCACACTTGGTCATGTTACAAAAAGAGTCTTGCTTGGCAGACAAGGTTACAGTTAGTTAAGGCTAGGGCACGGTTGCAGGACTTTAAGCAGATTTAAACTGCAACCGGAGAACATGTTCAGAGATGGATGGCATTAATCACCGGAAAGGTGAGATATCAGTACGGATAGGCAGGGGGGAGAATGTGGCAATGGACGGAGGCAGAGGAGCAGAGATGAGGACAGAAGTGTAAGGAAAAATAAAAAGGCAGAGGGAGTAAAAAAAGCCCTGCGAGGAGAGAGGTGTGAAAGACAGTGATGAGAGAGCGAAATGGACTCTGAAAATATGTGTCAGCATGTGCATGTCTGCCAGCTTTGAGCAAACACACAATCTGTCTCAGGAGAACAAAAACTGTCGGGCCTGGCCTCGACTTATGATTACCAGTTCCGCTTTATATGTGAGCCAGCTGATGCTACTGTTCACTTTGGCACATGGACAAGGCAAAAAATGAAAAACAAAAGATGTTTCAAAAGTTTAGAGAACTGGACTGTGACTTAAAAAAGGGCAGATCCTTCAATCTTACAAAGTTCTGTCATCAAGTTTTATCCTTCTTATTAAAGATGTGTGTAAATGCGGCATATTTCTACCACGGCTGACATCCTCGGCAGGCTTACTGATGCTTTAAATGTGACGTTTTGGATAAAATAACGCAATAAAAGCACTACACTTGTGGATTTAAAGGAATTATGTTGATGGTGATCAACATCAACAAGAACTGTTTCCAAACAGAAATTAAAATGAGTCAAACATACTCAAAGTAGGACAGAAAAAAATCTCTTTAAGTCTTCTGAATAATCCCAAATCTTATTGTTTCGTCTTTAACATTAATACCGATGACCCAAATACACAAAAACTCAAGTGTGTCTCTTGAGGACAAGGTCTGTGTGGTTTTAATCAGATTTGTGTTCAAGCAACCCAGAAACTGTTTGATTTGTGCTCCCATGTTTCAGTCTGCTGTGATTCTGCGACCATTTCCATGATTTTAAAAGGTGTAGCTACTGACTTTGTTAATGTTAATAAATCACTTAAAAAGCATGGGTTATAGATGAAATCAAATCAACTTCACAGGTGGTGGAAAATCTCTTCGGCTCATGTTTATTGGTTTTATTAGGCGTTAATAGAATTTCAAATGAACATAATCTTTTATGAATCATTGCCAGCTTTACGATCTCCTACAGGTTTTGCCATCAGGTTTGTAATCTAAGGCAAAGCGTTCAATTTCCAGTCAATACACGTTCCAACCCTGTGTGACTGAATAGAGGAGAGGATGGGCACGAGAGACAAAAAAAAAGATGCCACTGCAAGATGTTTGGATTGAGCCCATAGAAAAAAAGATGAAGAGCAAAGTTGCCATTGTGTTGAACAATGTTAGCAGAGATGGTTTGGACACTGCAGGAAGAGGCTTAAGGGTAAAATCAGAACTTATCTAAATACATATCCTGATTCATGTTCAATAATCCAGGTAGAAAAATCTAACAAAGTTAAGTCAGGTCCCCTGAATGGTTTCTTTTTGTTGAAATGTTTTGTAAATAGCACTATATATTTATAGTGTTATTTATAAGACTGAGTTTGTTGTGGCTCCTCGGACTGATGAAGTCTTTTGGATGGAAGACAAAACGTTTCAACAAAAAGAAACCGTCCAGAGGACCTGACTTGACTTTGTTAGATTATCTAAATACAGTCTGTAATCTGGTCTGATGAGTTTCTGTATCTGGTTGCAGTTTGTTTATTAGGACTGCAGCATTTAAAGAAATTATTCTGCCACGAAGAGAGGGAACGACTGATGAGGCTAACGATAACAGGCCTATCTGTGAATAGTAAGAACATAATCACATTAGCCTCCTTGTCATCTCTGATAGTTATAGGAAGCTGTGATAAAGGATGAGTGCAGATGTCTCACTGTAAGTATAACATTAAATGTTTTTATAAACATTTATGAACCTTCATTAGTTTGCTTGAACGTTTTCTTAATAGAACGTGGTTTAAGATTTACTCATATAACTTTTTAAAAACATTTAAAGCGATTTTTAGAGCTAAATTAGGGTATTGATGTACGTCACAATATACTTTTATTCAATAACGGTGATTAAATTTCATTCCACTTCACGATTGTGTCCCACTTGTTGTTGATTCTTCACAAAAAAAATAAAATTTTACATCTTTATGTTTGAAGCCTGAAATGTGGCAAAAGGTTGAAAAGTTCAAGCAGGCCGAATACTTTTGCAAGGTACTGTATCTCTCAAGTCATTTATAAAGTACAAGAAGGTAAAGGCTCTTCTGTGCAGATCAAAGGGGATAGTGTGTTTCAAAGCGATGATGTTCACTGGACACATTAGGTGTTGGGGTTCATGTCAGGGAGCAGGGGACAGAGAAACTGTCAGATCGCACCCCTCAGGTCTGGATGTTTGTATGTCAAACCTTCTAAGGCCCATCGATGGAAATAAAACTGGTCTTACCTGAACCTTCTGCGCCCGCCGCTTGTCTGCTCTCTGGTTCTGGTGATAGATGCGGCTGAAGTTGGACACGATGACAGGCACAGGGAGGGCGATTACCAGCACCCCGCTCAGAGAGCAGATGGAACCGAAGATCTTTCCTGCAATTGTCTTCGGCACCATGTCTCCGTACCTGTGAGGCCGGGGACAAAGAGAGGACGCGTTTAGTAAAAGCATCTCGTTACCCAGACACACACACACCCACACACACAGTGGCTTTCTTCAATATCCGTTTAAAGCTTCACTTTTCTGCATGTATTCGTCCCCACCAGAATAAAATGTGACAGGTTCCTCTCCGCTCTTTAGAGAAAAACAGAAGGGCTGCACCCCCACTTTGTCTGTCACTGAACGGCCACAGCTACGTCCACTGGCGCTCACGAGGAGCAGACACCATTAACCTTTAGAGAGGAGAACGAGGAGGACACTGCGAATGCCGTGCAGGGACATTTCCTAAAAGCCATTTATACCAGTTAGGTCGGAAATATTTGCAAGTCAAAAGCAATTTTTTTTTCTTGAACTCAGAGGTAGCAGAGTTACGACACCTATATTACTTTAAAATAAATCTAAAAGGAAAAAGTCACAGTGTGTAGATATCCACGGCAGAAAAGACAAAGGCTAAATCCAATTCTAAAAGAGCACAAGTTCAGTTGGAAAATATGAATTTATTTCTAATCGTCCTTTTTTCTCATTAGTGAGAAAAAAGAGAGCAGGTGATTTGTTCTTGCTTTTCTCCTATAAGCAAGAGGTTGAGCTGAACTTATTCAAGCCTGCACAAGTTAGTTAACAAATAAACCTGGAACAAACAGTCTTTAACATTAATTATAGAAAAGACTGACTGTTAAAGCCATTCAATCAAATAAAATATGCTTCAGTTAGAAAATATTTATCCTCTCTTCATCCTTCATAATTTTAATCATAAAAATCATGTTAATGGCTTAATATCACAGCGTTTCTTGGATAAAGATGAGTTCATGTTCCATGGAAAAACTGGTTCTGAAAGGATACACAGCAAAATGTTCCAGAGGCAAAGCAAAGGACGACAGCAACAGATTGCTGCACAGGAGTCTGACTCTTCTCCGTCTTGTCACATTAACCCTGGCAGAGAGCAAGGCGAAGTGTCAGAACCAGTAAAAACAGAGTGAAACGGCTGCTCCCTGTAAGCTGGAGAGTAAATACATCCCTGATACGTATCTTTACAGGGATGTTAACGCAAGACGCTCTGAAGAAATCTTACACACTTTCATCTACACTAACAAAAAGTTTAACTCTGTAAAAAGGAGGGCATTTCTTTTTTGAACAAATATTGCATTTTGGCTAAACAAAATGGAAACTTTAAAATAGGTTTGAAGAATAAAAATTCACATTTCAGACGTTCAATCACATTTTCTGGCAACAAGAATGCCTCTTCATTTTCTTTGAACTTAAACTACAAAAATGTAATATTATAACTCTAATAACCAACCAAAAAAGAAAACAAAATTAGATTTCCAAAAGAAGGAAACACAGATGACCACAAAATAAATTTCAGAAAAAAATTTAGTTTTTTTTTTTAATTAAAAGGGCTTTACATGTACTTTAAAATCATTTAGAAAACATACATTATACACATCAACTTTGCATCTAAATAACTTATTTTATTATTATTATTATTATTATTATTATTATTATTATTATTATTATTATTATTATTATTATTATTATT